AAATTAGATATTCACGTTTCACGCGAGTAATCCAAACACACATTATAAACTCGAATCTAGTTGAGCGGATATTAAATCCAAGTAACGTTCGATAGGATGAAATCCAAACAGGCGCTCAGTTCGAATCTTGAGTGGGGAATGGGGAACGTCGGAATCGGAACACCAACAAATTGTGGTTAATTATATACACCTGTGAAAATAAAATCGTAGCCTCTCGATTTCGTTCTTTGAGGTCAAAGCGCGCGAGTGCTGGCAACCGAGTCAATAAACAGTCTCACCGGAAGTGCGAACGTTCGTCGAAACTCGGTTTCATTTCCCGAATAGACTCGATGAATAAATGAAAGATAAAAGAAAGGGATACGGGCAAAGTGGAAAACAAGGATGAATCACGATCGCCCGTTAGTTATAGCGAGTGTCATGTGGAACGAAAACGTATTCGAAAATTGTGGGAATTATATTCGATGGTACTGGCCAACGGCCAAATAACGAACTTACTCGCACCTGAAATACACGTAGATCGTTCTCTCCCAGTACTTCTAAACATAACCCGCGTCCTTTTCGACGTCCCGCCGCGGTACGCCGACGAATGATAGACGCCGCGCCGCGCCGTTACAAGGACGCCTCCGTTTCGAAAATTCACCGAGCTGTCATCAAGACGCCGCGTCGCCAACTCCCCAATCTCCATTGTTAATGTCTCTACCGAATTTTGGAATGTCGAAAATCTTCCAAGTTGTTGCTCTAAGTTGCGGTACAGGAATGTTTGCATTATATAGAGTAACAAATAATTTTTCGGAAATGTTTTAATTCACTTTAAGTAAAGATGAGAAAGATGTAAAATCATAGAAAAGATATACTTAATTAGTTCAATGGTAATTTTGATTTCGTAACAAGAGTGACAGATCAAATTCTATTATTTACAAGAAAGATTTGATTTAGTATTCAAGAGATGAAAGAAGAAAACGTGTCAGAATTATATTCAGTGATTATTATTTATTCATAATTAAATCAAATGATATGAAAAATAGATAAGAGAATGATAAAATCAGAAAATCGAATGATATAAACATAAATGTAATAGAATTATTTTATTCACTGGACAAGATAAAAGATAGTATTATAACTCTGGCATGCACATACATGGAATGGTTGATCAAGAATACAATCTGTAAACAGAGCCCAACAGGATTCCATTCTAAATGTATTTTACAGTGAAAGAATTGCGACATTTATGTGTCAACGATGTCGCGGCTAAGCAAGGGATAATTGCCTCTTAATATTTCAACGGGCGAGATAGTCTATCATCACCATCGCCATTAAAGTGTCCAACGGGAATTACGAATGGTGCTACGAACATAAAATGCACATGCCATTGCTTTTCCGTAATAACTTTAAAAATATTCTAAATATATTGTTTTGCCATTACATTCCAAAATAATGGGAAACAGTAATAGAAGCAAAGATAGAGTATTCAGATGTTAGAAAAACCTTGCACTAGGTGATATAAAAACATAAAACATTATACATTATACACATTACATTAATTCATACATTTCCTTTTTTGTTTTCGAAGATTTACTTTTTATTTTATCATGTGCTCTCTTTCACGTGCTGTCGCAACGACGTCCCTCTCGATTTTATCGTTGACATATGACACGTGAACGAAACATTGCATTTATGAAATTCTTATAAATTTCATAATTTATAATGAATTGAGGTATATTTGTATTCTTAAATATTAGAATGCCTTTTATCCGAGTGAAAACTTTTTTTAACACGATCTAATTGTTTCCCAACAGATTTAACATTGATAAAAAATAATTCAGGAATCAAAGTGTTATATATCCTCCTCTCCAGCTACTCAAATAACTTCATTTCTCTCTAAATTCCTCGGCTTCTATCCTATTCCCCCAATCTCTAAATCTACCTTCATCATCTTTTTATTTTTACTCCTAACCCTTCTCCAACTCTCTTCCTCTTTCCCTGTTACTTATTTTTTACACGCATTTCCCATTGCCAATAAAATCTCCCTAAAACATCATACATAATTACCGATTTAAAAGATACGACGAATTATATTCCTAGAATTTCAACCCCTAATATTTATTAATTAATTATTACATGAATTCATTATATAAAAATATACTAATCATGATTTTTTATTAAACTCAAAATTAAATTTGTTCAAAATCTTATTTGTGTAAAGCTTCCCAATGATTCTTGTATAAATACAGGATTCTGATGACAAGGATTGCACTGATACTTTTTTATGTATCTTGACAAGAAATAGGACTAATCATTTTTTCTTGTGCATACTAGTTTTCTAACTTTCTTTATTTCTTTGCTCTCTCTCTCTCTCTTGATCATACGCTTTTATTCAGTTACGACTCGCCCGCGGGACTCTTTGCTCGCGCTGCTCGGCCGCTACTCGGCTTATGACTATTTTTAACCGTGCGAGTCGCGCGGCAATCCACACAACCCTCTGTTGCCGCGCCATATTAGTACAGGCGGCCGGTCCGAATCCCCACTATCCTCGGAATCGACCGACACCTTACACCCTCTCTCTATGTTACGTGTAGGTGGACCATCGCTACAGCAGCGGTCCAATTCCCTCTTTCTCGCACTCTTTCTATTCTTACATTTTATTTTTATTTGTTCAAAAACATATTGTCCAGTGGGTTCGACGAAAACAGGGAGGAGTAGTTCTGAGGAAAACATACTGAAAGACAATTATTCAGATTGTTTTATCCAATAATTATTCATAGACTAAAGATTGTTAAAAAGAAAAACTAACGATTCAGCAGTTGACTTTCTTGTAAATAAAAGTAATTAATGCTAGTTTACTTTTATGATTAATGGATGATTCAGCAACCACTCAAATACTAGAAATAACTGATGATTAATGATTTCTGTACGTTGACATAACAGACGACTGCATTTTATTCCAAGCAATGATTTTCTGATATGTTGTTCTTAGACATTATTTAGATGGAAAGATTCCAGCTGCTGTTTTCGTTGGCACTGTTATAAGATGGCGATTGATGACGGTACTCTGTGAAATTTCGTTGAATATTCCGTAGTACAAGATAATTCAGGATTAATGAATGAATCATGTAGTTCATCGTTTAAATTTCACGCGTTACTCTCGTCAGTACACAATGAGTAGTACAAGTGTTATTACAAATTGCAATTGCGACAAATTAATTTACTGTGCAGTTGAGAGTATAAATTGTATAACTGACAATAATACAAAAATAAATGTAATTAAAGAAAATTATGCCAAAAGTAACACGATTCTCTTAATATTTAATTGACGTTGTTTACAGAGCTGACAAAGAGAAATCCAAGTTCCAACAGGAGGTGTACGAACTCCTCGCTCAGCTCGACAATGTCACCAAGGAGAAGTTGATGTCGATAAAGACAGTGGAGAAACTCGAAGTGCACGTATCTGAGCTTAACGTTAAGATCGAAGAACTGAACCGCACCATCGTCGATATCACCACCCACAAGACCAGGCTGTCTCAGGAAAATATAGAATTGACGAAGGAAGTGCAGGATTTGAAGGTGAACGAATTATACTTCATAATATTCTTATAACGAAATATAAAATTAATGTTTCTTAAATGAATTACTTAATTTAATAATCTCCTGCAATTTATTTGATTGCAAATGTCGTAGGTCAACATCGAGAACGTCATTTATCTGAAGACCCAAATCGCAGGTCAACTGGAAGATGCTCGCCGTCGCCTTGAAGATGAAGATCGTCGCCGTTCAATGCTCGAAGCTTCTTTACATCAGGTAGAATACTTTCTACAAAATTATACTTAATTAGTAGTCACGTCTTAAAACATATAAAAAGAAATCGTAACGATCCTCTGTCGTGCATGTTTAGATAAGATTCAAATTTAAATACAAATCGATTTGTTAAAGGGTCTATTTTGAG